AAAATGCATTGCCGGGCGATGGTGGCGCACGCCTTTAATCCCAGCATTCAGGAGGCAGAGGCAGGCGGATCTCTGTGAGTTCGAGACCAGCCTGGTCTACAGAGCTAGTTCCAGGACAGGCTCCAAAGCCACGGAGAAACCCTGTCTCGAAAAAACCAAAAAAAAAAAAAAGAAAGAAAGAAAAAAGAAAAGAAAATGCACAACAAGTTGCCCGAAGGCCAATTTGGTAGGGGCAGTTTTGTTTCAAGTCACGAACTCCCTTCCAAAATGATGCCAGCTTTTGTCAAGTTGACATAAAACTAGTCAGCACTGTGAACACCCACACACACACACACACACACACACATTTGTTTAATGTTAAAGGATTCATAAAATGATAATGAACTTATAGATTATGGAAAGGCATACCGGGCTTTGCTCTGTACTGTGTAGAGAACTCAGGCTGGCCTGAGCATAGTTCCCTGCCGCCGTCTGACATCATCCGGTGCTTTGCACTTACTTCTCACTGGCACTAACCCTACACAGCCGTGGCTGCTCAGAGAGCTTCATGACAATCTGCTCCCTGGCACGTTTCCTAGAAGCATGCTGGTTTGGAAAAGTGAGAGCCACCTGTACCATCTGTTCTGACCCTGCACAGAAAAGCTGACAAGAGCCATCATCGGGAAGCTTTTGGACAGTGCTGCCTTCCAGAGCAGTTCCCAGCTATCCCTGAAGATCAAGATCCAGAGTGAGGGTGGCAAACATCCTACATGTGTATCTAAATCCAACCTGGATGCTCCATTCTAGCTTCTTCTGGTTGTTGTTTTTAAGACAGGGTTTCTCTATGTGGCCCTGGCTGTTCTGGAACTTGTTCTATAGACCAGGTTGACCTTAAACTCAGAGATCTGCCTGCCTCTGCCTTCTGAGTACTGGGATTAAAGGTGTGTGCCTCTACTGCCTGGAAATTTTAACTATTATGATTGATATTTGATATTAAAGAAACTACTTCACCCCCTAACCTCATCTGTCTGAGAGGATCACGATGGCAGCTTCAAAGCTTTGTGAAGATTAAACAAGACCACAAACACAAAGACGAATTCATATGGACTAGGATCGGACTAGACACAGGGCAGAAACAGTGTGACTTAGATACTTTTTGTCTTAATGAAAATATTAAAACGGCTTCTGCAACGTTGGAGCTAAGTAAATAAGTACCCTGAATGGAGCTTGCAAACAGATCTGACAAACCAGTTTAGTCCAGTTATTCCAAGATGCGTACTTAGTGTCCTTGAGAAACTGCTGGGAGCTGCGAGGGTTGCAGCAGGAAGGAAAGTCAGCAGACTTGGGGAGGTTTCCTGGAGAAGCACTTCCTCACACCATCCCACGGAGAGGGAGAGCAGTCAGACTGATGATGTCAAGCAGAGTCTGGAGCCCCTAATGTAGCAATGAGGGTCTCCAAAGCCTCTCCCAAGGCAGGGTGTGTGTGTGTGTGTGTGTGTGTGTGTGTGTGTGTGTGCAAAGGCACTGTTTTCATGAGGCAGCAAATAAATGATTAGCCCAGGCACACATGACTACCATCCGTCAAGGAGGAAATCATCGCATCATCGGCACCCACGCAGTAGGCAGAGCCGTAATCATCTTTTACTGGCCCATAGATCACAGGAGCAGACATGCCTTCCAAGGCCTGGGGACTGCAAGAGAAGTCATTCACAAGTGTATGAAGGCCTCCTTCAGCTGGGTTGGTTTGAGACAGCTACACAGGGGACGTCCCCCTAGCCCAGAGTCCCCAACTCAGAGAAGGAAATCACCCCAGGCTGGCACACCCACGCTCATGAAGAGAAACTGGGTACCTTGCACCCACGTCGCTATTTCTTGTACACCCAACTAAATCCTACATAGACTGGACAGGAAGTCAGATGGTATTTCCAAAGAACAACAGAAATTGTAAACAGTCATGAGAGCAAAAGGTCAGAAGAGGCAACAACACCCACACAGCATTGAGAGGCTGAAGCCAGTGAGCTGTGGACTTACTTCTCAGGTTTCAGAGTCTTCCAACAGGCCACTAGCCCTCCTTATTGATTACCACAGTAGCGATGTATAATCTGTGTGGTGCTGTATGACTTAGATTGCATCGTGCTTAATTTTCTACCATCCTTACAGAAAAGCCATGAACAAGGTTGCTAAAATCCTTCTTCTAAAGTTGAGGCCACCAAATCTCAGGAAAAACAAAACAACAACAACAACAAAACATTTATCCCAGGACTTATATGAAACAGACTTGGGGGCATGGTGCTGAACCCTGGGCTCCTGACATCAAGGTTTATTTTGGGGTCCATGTGTCCCACAGAATTATGTGCCTAATGCCAGAGTAGCACTCAGCCTCTGGCAGTTGGGAGTGCAGGGAGGTGGGGGCAGGGAAGAGCCAAGTGGCATTGGGCTGGGACCTTAGGAGAAGTTCGATAGGTCAGCCAGTCAATCCTGACCAGTAGAGTGGGCACTAGCATGGAACTCAAGTTGTCAAATCTAAGGAAAGAGGGAGTCCTTAAAAGCCGAGGCAGCTACAGGCAAGCTTGCCCTGACCAGAAGGGAAATGGCAGGCTCCTCCTTCCCCTGGTCAGTTGAACAGCGTCATCTGAAAATCTCATTGAACCTACTGACGGGCTGAAGCAGGCAGCCAAATTCTGCTTAGGGTCTTAACTTTATTTTTGCTTTTCCTCACAGTAAAAGTCTTTGAGCAAGAAGTTTTGACCAAAAGATTTCAACTGAGGCTTTTCCTCCCTTCCACTTTCCACACTCCAAGAGTCTTATAACCTATTTTATTCTTTTCCTTTTTTAAATTTATCATCTTTATTTTAAGATTTACTTATTTATTATGTATACAGCAGATCTCACTCATAGTTGTGAGCCACCATGTGGTTGCTGGGACTTGAACTTCAGGACCTCTGGAAGAACAGCCACTGCTCGTAACCTCTGAGCCATCTCTCCAGCCCCCCCCCCCTTTTTTGAGACAGGGTTTCTCTATGTAGCCATAGCTGTTCTGGAACTAGCTCTGTAAACCAGGCTGGCCTCAAACTCACAGAGATTCGCCTGCCTCTGCCTCCCAAATGCTGGGATTAAAGGTGTATGCCACTGCTGCTCAGTCCTATTTTATTCTTAATGGGTACGTGTGGTATAGTGGGTTTCTGTTTTTATATTCAAGATGTGTGTGAGTATGTCCTTTGCTGCTCTAGGTTTCTCTGACATGAGTTCTGAAAAGCAGGTAAGCCCATGAGGGCAGGAATTCTTGTCGGGATCACTCTTGCCTCCTTCATGCCTAGTGCACGTTGGGAACTCACTGAATGGCTAAACCCCGTCTCCTTCATGACTAGTGCACTCTGGGAACTCACTGAATGGCTAAACCCCGCCTCCTTCATGACTAGTGCACACTGGGAATGCACTGACTGGCTAAACCATGAAGAAAATAGAAAGGTTTTTCATTGCTCTCTCTCAATGTGTGTGTGTGTGTGTGTGTGTGTGTGTGTGTGTGTGTACGTATGTGAGACATATATGTACATAACATGGCTACACAAGCCCATGCATGTACTCAGGGAGGTCAGAGGAATATGACAGGCATCTTTAGCCACCACTTCCTCTCTCTAATTGAACCTGTAACTCCCCAGTTTGCCTAGGCTCAACATGCTCCAGAGAGCCTTGTCTCTTCCCATAATGTATTGCCTCTTGTCAGCATTTTACGTTGCTGGCTTTTGTGTGTTTAAAGGTTAAATTAAAAATAGATTCAATTGCTATAAAGTACAATGATAACATTGGTCAGGAAATAGCAAACGTATCTCCCTTTTTCCTGGTGACAGTAGCCGCAGCTGAGACAGTGCCGACTTCCTTCTTTTCCAATAGCATGTAGACTTTGAAGCCGTTTTGCGTTGAGCATAAACAGCTGAAATACGTGACCAGTGAAGGGCCCTGATTGCGTAGTCATTGATTTTCAGTAAGGACCAACGTCTTCATGTAGGCACTAAGGACCATCTCTGTGGCTCTCTTGTAAGGAAGTCTATTTCTGTTTTACTTCCTTAAAAACACATCTATTTTAATTTCATTTGATACTTTTAGACTCCCCTAGTGAGCAAACTGAGGGAAGCTTGAGATTGGTTTTGTTTCAAAATTTATCAAAAGCTCCCGTGCACTGAAGAAAGCACCATCAACAAATGCTCACCGTGGATTAAGACTGAGCTTACCACAGTCTGTGTTTGAACTGTTACCTTGATAACACGCAGACTCTCTACTTTACCTTCTGGGATGCTTAGCTTTTCTTGTCACCGCGACACAACCCAGAGTCATCAGGAAAGACGGAGCCTCACCTGAGGGACTGTTCAGCTCAGATTGGCCCATGGTATATCTGTAAGGGACTCTCCTGATTGGTGGTGATGCAGAAGGGCCCAACTCACTGTAGGCAGCACCAGCCCTAGGCAAGAAGGCCTGGGCTGTACAAAAGAAGCTAGCTGAGCTCGAACTGGAGGCCAAGCCAGTAAGCAGCATTAGAAGATCATCTCCATAGGCTGGGGACAGAGCGGTTCCCTATCACCAGGTGTTATTATGGCCGCTATCATGTCCAGCACAGAACATCCAGAGCTTGTATTGCAACTGTGGGCTCAAACCCGCTACCCTGCTAGGCCCTGTGAGAGTACAGCTCTTCGTTACAAACAGTACCTACGACATGATAGTGATGATAGACACTGTGCCCTTGGCTTGTGTGTTTAGTAGATGTTGTCATGAGTCGAGGGTGTGCATCCATATACACATACATGCCAACTGTAAAACAGCTTCAGGCAGGTCCTTCAGCGGGAATTCTCCAAGATGCCAATGTCGTGACAGAAGATGACAGCTCTGGGCATGGTATCGTCCTGAAGGCCTCTCAGCTTTATGAGGTGCAGAGGTGGGATACAGTGATGTGGACAAGACAAGCTCTCTACAGCCCAAGGCTAACACGAGTAGACTTTTAAGTTATTATCTTTATTTCTTTGTTTTGTCTCCTATGTGCCCTTGGTTGGCCTGATGCTTGCTTTGTATCCCAGCTGACTTTGAACTTGCTGTAACTCTCCTGCCTCTTCTTCTGAGCACTGGGAAATACAGCTGTGCACCACCACACCTGGTTGTGTCTGCTTTTAAAATAAGAAGCTTAATAAGTAAAATAATAATAGTCAAATAAAAAAAGATCTACATAATAAGGATACAAAAATAAATTATTTTGTGCAGTTCTATAACATGTTTGGGGTTTAAGCTAAATGTTAATAGTAAGACAATTACATACACAAAAATTTTAAAGGTCATTAAGTAAAAGAGTTACAGTTAATTTACGTAAAGTTTCTTATTGAAGAAAAAAGAAAAAGCAAATTTTTGAGACAGGATCTCACTATGTAGCCCTGGCCATCTTGGAACTTACTATGTAGACCAGCATGGATTCAAATTCATAGAAACCTGCATTTATACCACCACAACCAGCAAGAAGAAAATTTTAAATTATATGTAAACTAAGTGTAAGGTGTATATGAAGACTATAGTTATTCTATAGTAATGTCCCAGGCCTTCACGGCCATTCATCACCCTCCACTCCCCTCTAGCAACTTCCAGAGCTGTGAGCCAGCAATAGCCTATGCCATACAGGCAGGTTTATGATGTACCATTTGGGTTTGTGTAAGGATGCTCTACAGTGCTTACATAAGAAGAAATCACATAGTGGTGAATTTCCCTCCCCTTTTCCTTATTTTAGTGAGGATTTATGTATGTGTGTGCGTGTGTGTTTTTGTGTGTGCATGCAAGTGTGTGTGTGTCTGTAGGCCAGAACACAATATCAGGCGTCATCTTCCACCTCCTTTTATTGTTGTTGTTGTTTTATTTTGTTTTTCAAGACAGGGTTTCTCTGTGAAGCCCTAGCTGTCCTGGAACTCGCTTTGTAGATCAGGCTGCCCTTGACTTCATTGAGATCCACCTGCCTCTGCCTCCTAAGTGCTGGGATTAAAGGCGTGCGCCACCACTGCCCAGCAGCCATCCACCTCCCTTGAGACAAGGTCTCTCATTGCCGTGCCAGGAGATGATAGTTCCATGCGTGTCCTTGCCATCAAGGTTTCCTTTTATGGGGTTAGGTTGGGGGGGGGGAGGAAGAACAGAAGGAAAGGATAAGAGGGAGAGATGGAGGGAGGAGGGGAGGGACGGAGGGGCGGCGGAAGGAGGGAGAATAAAACCATGACATCATTTGCTGTAATTAGTCCACTCGAGCACCCACATAATCAGAAGGCACATGCACCTTAGCCATAGTTGGTCAGGAAAGGGTCCCGTAGCCGTTGGCAGCGCTTCACAGAATGCTGTGTTTCTATATCCAGAGTTGCCTTGCTTTGTCCAGATACTCATATGCGTTTTGTGTAATAGACCTGGAACCTAGCCTGCATGGTCTAGCCATCACAAACTGCACTGGTTATCTGTACAGAGCTAAGAATAATTGCAGTCCCATGCAGCTCATAAAGAGATTAGACAGCCTGGCGTTCTTCATTGTTTTGAGAAATCCAAGGGCAGATCGCCTCCACTTTTTGCTAAGTTTCTAGAAATGTTTTGGAAACTGGTTCTACAGCCCTTTAAGTCCTGATCCTTTTCTATTTTATTTTATATACATAATATATATGGGTAAATAATACATACTACATATTTAATAAAATATTATGTGTTATTATATACAATTATGTAAATATAACAATATTATATGTGTATATTATGTATAATATATAATATATTCTTCTTACATTAAATATGTAACATATATTCTTTTTCTATTAAATATACAATATATTTTTTATATTCAATCTTTTTACATTCAAACATGCAATGATCACAGTATTTCAGAAAACTGAAAGATAAATATATTTAAGCATTACTGATGGCTTTCTCCTTCAGTAGTTCTAGTCCCTCAACAGGTGGGATATGATATTCTTTGGTAAAAAAAACCTGCTCTCCAAAGTGTTTCATGTTTTCTCAGTCAAGGAGGGTTTTATTAAAAACTAACCATAGGTACCCACTAATACCAATTGGGAAGTGACACTTCCCATTCTCTATAACATATGCAATTTTATCGAAAATAAACTCTTCCATCTATGCGCCCTCATGTTTACTACAGGGAAAGGGGGGCAGAGGGAGCTCAAGAGCACACTCATACCAACAGGGTCACAGCCCGCACTCTGAGCACCGTTTGCACACCTGCCTTTCCTGGAAATGTTTGAGTTGATTGTTTTCCCAGGTTCATGTGCAGTTTCGCTGGGAACACCTACCCCATGTCAACAGTATCAGCCCAGGGAGACCAGGCCTTTTCAGAGTGTAGAGATAGAGGGGGCTTGTAGGCCACCGAGTCTGGGCCTATGTTAAATGCACTGAAGTCTCCAGAAGGGGAATTTAAAACACCTCTAGAATGCTCTAGAAGTCCTCTCTCACTCTCAGATTTGAGTTATGATCTTTTTTTTTCTAAAGAGAAAGATTTAAAAAAAAAAACACCTTTTTAGTGGCCACTGTACGCCAAACTGTGCTGGGTGTCAGGGACGCAGGAAGCAGCAAATGACTTTTATTACAATTTTTAATAACTTTCTTCAGATATCACATCTTCTATGGCAGTGGTTCTCAACCTTCCTAATGCTGTGGACCTTTAATACAGCTCCTCATGTTGTGGGGACCCATCAACCATAAAATTAGTTTCATTGCTACTTCACAACTATAATTTTGCTACTGTTATGAATCATAATGTATTATCTGATATGCAAGCCTTGTGAAAGGTCACTTAAGCCCCTGAAGAGGTTGAGACCCACAGGTTGAGAACCACTGTCCCATGATCAATTTGGGTTAGACAGACAATATTTTGTGGTCTGAAATAGTCATAAATTGCATCAAGAAATGTAAGGTCTGGGAACAACTTTGTAGCAGAATGCTTCCCTATCAGGCACAAGGACCTGTATTTGATCCCCAGCACTAAAAACAAAAATGGATAAAAAATTCAATTTTTAAGTCAACAGTAAACCATTGATTTAGCCACTTAGAAGTAAGTGTTTATAAATACATAATTATGAAGCAATACATTATAAACTAATAGATGCATACTAAGGCAGTGTGCTGCTTAGTTTTAACTAGCAACTCAATACATCCTAAAATCACCTGGAAAGAGACCCTTAGCAAGGACATCTAGCTCATGGCAGCATTCAAGCATGTCTGTGGGGGGGGACTGTCTGATTGTTATTTTATATAGAAAGACCCACTGTGGGCAGCACCATTCCCTCACCAGGGGGCCCTGAACAATATAAGAGAAGAGAAAGTTAGCTAAGAACAAGCCTACAAGCCAGCAATATCTATGCATTTATTCTTTCTCTGCTCTTAACTATGGATGTGCTCCTTGAATTTCCAGCTTTGACTCTCTGGAGCTGTAAGCCAAGCAAACCTTCCATTAGCTTGTGTTGCTATTTCACAACAGAAATGAAACAAGGTAAAGAGATGGGATCCAGCTCAATGTGGGGAGATGAGGGAGAAGATGGAGAGAGGGCTCCCTGGATGCAGGGGTCACTGAGGATTAACAGAAAGAGCCTGAGTGCAGCATCCTTCACAAAGAAGGAGTCAGCACTGAAAAGGACTTGGAGACAAGGAACACCGGGCCGGGTTAATATTGGCTGGTGGGTTCTGGGGGAGTGTTTAATATTGCTAAGACATATTCTCCGACCCAAGTGAGGCTTGTGTAATGAGGTCATGGTGATGAGGAAGAATAAAATCGTAGAACCTTGGCTATCACCATGTAAGGAGCAGGCTTCTGTGTTAGGAGACACTGCTCAATATAAAACAATAACCCTAATTACTGTAAGCTTCTGAGCGTTTACCCCAAAATCACCCTGCCCTTCAACACCCGGACAGGATACTAGAGGCACTCTCGTAGTGAAAACCTCTCCCTAATTTCCATCCCTGTGATATTGTCATCTATTCTTTGTTTTCAAATTCAAACTGCTTAGACCTAGTGACAATTCTATAAGCATGTACCAAAGGAAGCAGAAACTCTAGGAAACCATGACAATTATCTCAAAACTCAAAATAGATCATGGGGGGGGGGATTCAGCCTGAAGTCTGCCCACTGGACTGAAAAGAGCATAGCAGGAGGTGGGTTAAAGAAAATTCCTATTTGTTATAGGCATTTTTTTCCTTTAACTTTGAGAATCTGGAGATATTCCCTTTGTGCAAAGACATGCTTATATCAGAAAACTCTGTGTTCAGTAAGGAAAGGCTCAGGGTCTCTCTTCTCAGCCTCACAGTGAGCCAGGCATGGCAGGGGTGCCCAGGACTCTCGTGATCACCTCTGCTTCACCTCCATTTATGGGGTTCCTCTCTAGTCCCATCTAAGGAACTCTCAGTGGATGGACTCAGATGTGCCTCTTCTCGACAGGGAGACATTGGTAGGTTATTTAACACAACACCATCCAAAAGGTGAATGAGGCACATTGCTCTCTAACTTTACAAAAATTTACAAAAATCAAGACTTCCTCTAGCCAGGTTGACAGATGTAATAACTTATCAGGCGACTATCCCAATGCACGTCTGTGCAGTTACTATAAACATCAGTTTTTCATGTGTGTATGTGTGTGTCCCACAGTTAGATGTTGAGTGTCTTTTTCTACATTACTTTCCACCTTTTCTTTCTTTCTTTCTTACTTTTTTTTGCGTCTCTTACTGAACCTAGAGTTTGCCCATTCAACTAGTTCTACTAGATTAGTCAACAAGTACCAGGAACCCTCCTGTCTTTGCTCCCACTGGAATTATAGGAATTTGCTGCTGTGCCTTTTGTTTTGTTTTTTGTTTTCTCACCTACTGGGAATTGAGTTCAGGTCTTTGAGCTTGGCCAGCCAGCACTTTACTGACTGAGCCATCCCCTTGGCCCCCTACTCACCAATTTTCAGCCAACTGCTGCAACAGTTGCATCTGTGGTTGCATCCTCTGTGTGGTTGCTTCCCAATGTCCCTCTTCTTTACTCAACACAGCAGCCGTGATGCTGGAATCCCAGTGAGAAAGAACGTCAGCAGCACCTGTGAGCTTGGGAAATGAATAGGTCGTACTTTAAAATCTAAGGATCGCCCTCTCCCACCCAAAGCAAAGATGGCCAAATGGCACCAGAATCCTGGGGACAAAGAGTTTTGTGTCAGCAGAACTAAGAAGCTCCCAGAGAGCCAGTCTTAAGGACGTGGCACTTGATCCCAGTGCAGGCCATGTGTGCTGGTATTCCTTTGTGCACTGAGTGGGAAATTTTTACCCCCAGTGGTCCCCATCCTCTCTGGCCATCGTGGAAAGCATTGCTGAATTGTTGGGTCTCTTGGTCCTCTTTAATTCTAAGTCTTTACAGAAGACTCTAAACTGTTCTCTCACTGGCTTTGGTGTGCGTGGCAGGGGAATTCCAGAGTGCATGTGCAAGCATGTGTGTGTTGGGGGAGGAGGATTCCAGAGTGCGTGTGCAAGTATATGTGTGAGGGGGATTCCCAAACACATGTGTGTAAAGGGGAGATTCCAGAGTACATGTGCAAGCGGGGGGGGGGGGGATTCCAGAGTAGTGCAGGCATGTGGGGGGGGGGATTCTAGAGTGCGTGTGCAAGCACTGTGGTGGTGAGCGGATTCCACAGTGTGTGTGCAAGCACGTGGGGGGTGAGGGGATTCCAGAGTGAGTGTACAAGCACATGGGGGGATTCCAGAGTGTGTGTGCAAGCATTTGGGGGGTGAGGGGATTCCAGAGTGCGTGTACAAGCACTTCATCAACCCATCAATTTCCTTCCCCTACAGTTTACATTTTTGAAACACAGTTTCTGTAGCCCAGGCTGGCCTCAAATTTAGACCAAACCTCCTGTCTCAGCCTTCCCAAGGATGACTTTAGGGGCATAAGCCACCATGCCCAGTTGCACTGGCTTTATTGTTTTAAAAGAAAACCTTACTGAGGTACAATGCGCATGGGAGAGGCTACAAATACCCCAAGTGCACGATTTAGCCAGTGGTGGGATCATAGCCACGAAACCAGCTCAACCGTGAAGATGATGATGAACGCAGTGAGCACATCCATCACGCCCAAGTTTCCTGCATCTCTTGGTCATTGTTCACTCCCCTTCAACTCCCACTCCCGTCCCAAGCCATCTTCTAGTTTCCTTTAAACTAATTCGGAGGGCTAGAGAGACGGCTCAGGAGGTATAGTGCTTGCCCTGCAAACCTGAGGCTTTGAATTGGGTCTCCCAGAACCCACATAAAAAGTTCCAGGCAGGATGACAGCAGGCTCCTATGATCCTGGCTGTAAAGGGACAAAGACAGAAAGACCCCTGGGGCTCCCTGACCAGAGAGTCTAACTTCATCAATGAGCCCCAGGTTCCAGTAGGAGACTCTGTTCCAAAAAACAACATAGAACTCTGACTTCCATATGCACACACAAACACGTACACAGCCCTGCACATGCGCACACACAAAGAAAAAAATCAGAGCACTATTTCTTTTTCGAGAGCTGTTTTTAGCTGCCCAACTCCATCTCCTGAAGCTCGAAGGCATCTGCTAATGTGTGTGAAACATGCACAGCCATCTGCTTAGTCGTCTGGCACACAGTTCACACGGGAAAAAAAATAGAAGAATAATAAAATGCAAGCAAATTCCAAGAGAGCAGAGAACACATTTGGCTTGTTTAATAAGCGTAAGGAAAAGAAGGTTTTGCCTCAGCTTTAAGCCAGCAAAGCATCCTTCCCTGTGGGAAGGGGGATGCCAGAAACAGCTCAACACACAAAGTGGCCACATTGCTATCACAAAGAAAGAGCCGGCGTTGCTTAAGGAAATGCTCACTCGGATAACAGAAAGCAATCCCCCCTCGGAGAAGGCCGTCTGGGTCTGCGGAAGGCTGCCATGGCGGGACAACTTCTCTCGGTACAATACGTTAATGGACTAACCAGAAGCTTTAGCTTGGAAAGTAGTGCTTGGAATTTGGTCTTAGTTTGGATTCATTTGCTCTTGTGGGGGAAATCCTCTGCCCCTCTTTTTTTTTCTTTTTAATGGTGAGAAATTTAAGGGAGAGCACGATTCTGAGTATCTAGATTCTTCTACTAATCAACCGTGTAAGCCTGTGTACATGGCCGCTTCATCTCGACGTCTTACTGAAATAACGAGAGACTTGAACTTAAAACCCACTTCAAAGTCCCTCCAAGCTTTAAATTTACATAAGGCAGGACACTTTCAGGAATACCTTTGTCCTCTTCGTCCTCCTAGGACCACAGCTGGTTCCGATTTATCCCAGAGTGAGAAGGAGGCAAGTGTCCCCCTAATAACCAACCATTTCTCCTACAGTCATTCTCTGTTGCTGCTATTGCAAAAGCTACTCTATAGCCATCATGTAACCCAGGATTAAGCAGAATACAAACCCATTAACATTGTTAACTGTTTCCAGAAAGGATGGAGAGCCGCACCACAAAACCGTTCTTGTGAGAAAACACCGCTAATTCTAGACACCGCTATGCATCCAGAACAGGCTGCCACCTGTCATTTCCAGCAAACCCCAGGAAAACAGACTTCTCCCCAGGTGTCTGCCTGTGTGACAAGAGCACTTCCCACCCTTTCTACGGCTGTCAACTATGACGACTGTACTTTGAAAGTCTATGAGGATGAAAGGATGCTTGCGGCCTGAAGTGACATGGCCAGGAAATTTGGCTGCTAGGCCCTACCAGAATCCTAGATCCCAACCTTCCTGTAACATGCCACAGTTCTCTGGCTGAGCATCTCTGCCCGTGGGAGCTGTTATTCAGTTAAACCCAAACCTTGCCCATTGTGGTGACACACATCTTGAATCCCAGCACTCAGGAGGCAGAGGTAGGCAGATCTCTGAATTCAAGGCCATCCTGGCCTACAGAGTGAGTTCTAGGACAACCAGGGCTACACAGAGACCTTGTCTTGGAAAACAAACAAAAGCCTAAATCCCCAACTCTACCTGCCAAGGAGGCTGGGGAACACTATGACTTTCTATAATACAAATGGGACAGACTCCCATATATTAGGGGTCCCCTAAAGAGAAACAAGTAGCTAGAGGGGAACAGATGTCAAGTGCTTCTTCTTGTATACATAGTCATTATAAAAGACTTCACTGAAGCCACTTGTTCCAAGGGACAGCAAGAACTCTGGGCATAGAGACATGACTCCAGCAGAGCCTGAGACTGACCCCATGTAATCTTAAGATCTGCCAGTCTCCTTATAACTACTCCAAAGAGTAATGATAGAGATAGGTGTCTCTACAAGGCAATAGGGCAGCTCTCCCTCTCCCTCGGTGCTCACTTCATGTGCCACTCATAGATGGATGGGCTGGAGACACTGTCTTAGAAAGTCACCTGTGGTCCTTCCTCTGCCATGTTCCTTTTCACCCAGTAAGGCCAGCAGTTAACCCAAGAGACATCTCAATTCTAGATTCACATTGACTGCTCTAGGTGTGCAGGATGCCAAATTACCAAACGACCCGTAGACCTAATGGGGACCTTTCCCCCAAGGAGGCAATCATTTACCCTGTCTGGGATGCTCAGGACTTGGCAGTGTCGATTGGGCTGTCGTTTCGGAGGCTGTGTACGCAGCTGAGCCCCTATACATGAAGAACGGGACCAGGATGGGAAGAGAAGGGAGTGCAGCCCTGCGAGTCACGGCTGTGCCACACTCATTCACTGCCACCTTCGAAATTCCATCAGACACGTTGTTTACATAAGTTCACCCTTCAAAACTAAGCTGTCACGATGGAGTTCACAGAAGCCGCGACACAGGGAGACTTGTCATTATCTGCACTTGAAGGTCTTAATCTGACTGGGCAGCGAGTGAAATTAGCTACAGAAGCTAATGCTCCAGAAAAGGCCTTGAACAGTTCAAGTCAGGCAACCACAGGGTTTACTTTTTTTTTTTTCCAGGTAAAGAAGATGAACACACGGTGCACTCTCTGGTGAAGAGCACGCCTCTCCTCGGCTTATAAACCCCAGCACTTCCCTTCACACAGCTGAGCAGGCTGCCTTCCGGCACTGTTATCTCTCTCTTCCACTGAGGTCTTCAGATAGCTGCCAGCCACTCTTATCTAGAAATTCAGCTTTTGCTACAACACTGTAGCTACCAAACGGTGAGCGAGTCCTTTGCCAGACCCATGAAACGCAAGCTCTTTGATGTTTTCAGCCCCTGGTATCTCCTACCCTTGTCTTTGTTCACATCCTCAACCCCTCCTCTCTTTCTACTGAAACTACAACTCTTCTTCAAGGCCCAGCTCAAATTTCTCCCCATCTGGCCATGACCTTTCCCACAGCTCTGAATTCTGATAGGGCCTTCTCCTCATGACAGGACTTAGTCATGCACAGTGTGCTGTGTTAAGTTGCTGGTCTTCTTATGAAGTCGATTTTCTCTGTTTAATTTCCTTGGAACATCTCTTCGCACCTACCCTTCAAATTCAACAACAATGGTGATTAATACATTTAGATCCATTGGTTAAATTAGAATATGAGTATTTAAATAAAGTGCCAACAAGTTTCTAAATATATCAGATATTTTATGTGGATTTACTGTAATGTGTTTAAAGCGATGAAAAGCAAAGTGAGAACCTCAATTATTTAAAGCTTATATTCAACTAAATATGTTGTGTATGTGATTGTGTATATGCATGTTAGTGTGCATACATATGTAAAGTAAATACATGTTTTAGAGAGATTTTAAGAAACAAGGTTTGAAAGCATTAAGTTTGCTTCAATTCTTCTCTCAAATTTGGGGGTGTCTCATTAAATGTTTATGGACTTAAACAGCTCCAAACTGGGGCCTGGCTGACTATAGGAAGGAAGAGGCTAAAGACAAGGACAAAGAAACCTCTCGCTATGGTCCAGAAGAGCTTGGAGTCTGAACAGCAAGTTCTTGAAGATGAATTTAGAAAGCAAACAGTCAAAGGGAATACGGAGCAAGTCAGACAAGCGCTTCAGAACTAACACTGTAAAGAGCTGCAAAGCTCTGTAGAAACTTTGATGTGATGAGGGCAGTGTGAGTTAGTAGTGAAAAGGAAGCGTAAAGTAACTCTGCAAACTGGCCAATGGTTCTTAAGCATTAGCTCCGAAAGGGCTAGAATGCTCTCTCCTACAGACGCCATTTTCCCTCTGCCCATTCCGTTCCATCTTTCATTTACTCCTGGTATGCATCATTAGTGTCTGCCTTAGATAGTTTAAAAAATAATAATATTCTGTTTCTGTTTTTTTGTAGCCGCTCACTAGACTGCAAGCTTGCTGAATGTGGGCGTTCCGTCTCTCTTGGTAGATTTAGAGATCACAGCCGAGTGCCAGGAAGCTTGTAGAGGCAACTCTCACTTCCAGTTTAGATGGTGTTTTACACACCAAAGCAGTGTCTGACTCATTGGAGACCCAACAAATGATGGATAGATGGATGGGCAGACAAATGAACAAATGGATGGGTGGGTGGCTGGCTGGATGGACGTTTGACAGCCTAGCAACTTCTCCCTAAATACTGGGCAACAGGAGCTTTCTCTATAGTCTAGTAGGTTCAAAGAACTTTAAAAGACAGTTGCATATTTGATTTACTGTTGTGCTCCACATGCAAGTAAGAGCAACAGACAGTCACTAAAGAGAGGTGAATACGAGGCACCTGAGATCAAACGCCTCAGATGACCCAGATCTATGTACTATTAAACAAAAGATTATCTAGTCACCAACCCACAGCAGACAGTACCCGTGTAAGCCATCTTTGCTTAATACACAGGGCAGTCGACTTTATATCACAGACAAACTGGGTGCATTGTCATAGCCGACTTTAATATTTATGAAGGCAAAACACTTCTCCCAATAACAGCCACAAAGATAAGTTACCCCCAGAGCCTCCCACTCAACCATAAAAACATGTGTACCCCATATATCTCTTAACTCTCCAAAACAGCTTGCACTTTGACACAGACAAGTAACCTCTGACCTCGTCTCCTGAAGTTTCAGTGTTCAGCACACATATATGTGCATGCGCCTATGTACACATACACACAGATAAACACATCTGGCAATAGTTTAACACTTCCTTGGAAAACTTTTTTAAGATTACTGAATTAGGAGTATCCCATTAACTGCTATTTATTAGCATACAGACCCATTTACTCCTTGGTAAAGACTTGTTGAGTTCCAATTTTTTATAAGTCATTCGCTAGGTGGTGTAGAAGTTTTCAAATTTAATTGAGACACACTCCTTATCTTCAAGGAGCCTACCACCCGCTGACAAAGAGAGACAGGCGAAAATCTCCATGCAGGGGCTTCTGTACTAGAATAGAGAAACCCAGAAAACACTGATCACCCAGGGTCAAGGTCACCCTTCCTAGTGCCTGCTTGAGCTAGAAGCTTCTCAGTGGGTGCCTGTAGCAGCCCTGGGAAATGAGTGAAGCAGAGATGTTGTCTATATTTGGTAATAAAGGTGTTGGGGGCTGTAGAGATGGCTGCACAATCATGGGGACCTCGGTTTGGATTGCCAGAACCACCCAGGAGTGAGTGTCTGTAACTGCAGAGCTGAGAGGCAGAGATAGCCAGATCCTCAGAGCTCACTGAACACCCAACCATCCAAATAGTGAACTTCAGGTTCAGTAAGAGAATCTACCTCAAAATAAACACATACATGCTTACATACAGCGGACACTGTATTGAGAAGACTCCTAATGCCAACCTCTGACTTCTCTCACAGGTGAGCATCACACACACACACACACACACACACACACACACACACACACTCCACAGGAATCATGCTGTCCTAGCACTCACAAGGTTAAGGCCAGAGGATCATTTGATCCCAACAGTTGGACACCAGCCTGGACGACATACTGAGACCCTATCTCTTGTTAAACATGGAGTCTGCTGCTTTAGATAAACTGCCTAGTGCTTTCAGAGTTCACTCCAAGTCACACAGCCAGGCAACAGCAGAACCAGGACTTTTGGCTGACTTCTATTCTCTTTGCAGGACTTCCACTATGGGGCGTGGGAACATAAAGATACGGAAGGGTTAAGACACTCTTCCAGTAGAGGGAGTGTGTGGACAGATCCTCTTGACGGCAGAGCCAACCTATTCTGTGCATTTTGTGGCTTGTCAGAAGGAGGTAGCAACAGCAAACAGAGTGGTGTAGCTAAACGAAGAATAATAGTAAGACAAGAGACTGTATCTGTGTGGCTTCTGTGTTTCCTGTAGAGCAGTGGATGTCACCCTTCCTAATGCTATAGCCCATTAACACAGTTCCTCATGCTGTGGTGACCACCAAACATAACATTATTTCCATTGTTACTTTAGAACTCTAATTTTGCTACTGTTATTAATCCTAAAATAAATACCTGTGCTTTCCAATGGTCTTAGGTGACCTCTATGGAAGGGTTGGTCAACCCCCAAGGGGATCGCAACCCACAGGTTGAGAAACACTGCTTTGGAGATGTCCTTCTCGACCAGACAGCCCAGCAGCTCTTCTATGACCAAACTGCATTTTTACAAACTTGTGTCTCTGCTAGCCAAAGGGACCCTGTCACCCTCCTTCGCTGTCAGCTGGGATGTGTGTATTTTTCATCCTTGCCTCCAACACATTAACCCAGCTCTGAGGAATGCAGGCCCATCAAAGCGGCGTTACCGATGCCTACGTCAGTTTTCAAACCCAATTTCTCGCTGAGGAGGAACAATGCAGCTGTGGGATGTTTTTATTCCGTGGGCACGGAATCTTTATAATTGCTCTCTTTTTGTGGTTGAGGATGCCTCCCTATCCTTCCAGCCAAACAGTAAACACCTCCTTGGATTTCCTGGATAAGAAGATAAATAATAAGGGATAAGAACATAAATAATAAGGGCTCTTAACAAATTTCATTATAATGGGCTACATCTTTTAAGCCGATTGTAAACACTGTGGAATACCTCCCTAGTGAAGTAAGAGTCAATTAGGAGAATATCTGCTGGCCTGACATTGCAATTCCGGCCCCATCCCCATGCCAAAGGCAGGTCCGTGTCCAGTAGCACAGACTAGGTGCAGATGAGGTCAGCTAGCCAGAATCTCCTCTGGAATTTTACTCTGTTCTCCTCTTTTCGAACTTGTTTTCCCTTCTGTTTTCTAATTTCTTGTGAAGATGGGAAACATGTGGCCCAGCAAGTGTGTGGAGGTCAGAGGAAAACTTGTGAGAGTCTGTTCTCTTGTTTTACCATGTGGAGTCCCAGGACCAAAGTCACGTCATCAAGCTTGGATTCCAGTGCACCTACCTACCGAGCCAAATTATCTACGACGAGCCCTGGAATAACCCATTTTCTGATGGGTCTAAAGAGAAGCTGTTAATTAAGCTAGCATTGTTATCCTCATCCTTAGGCCCTGTAGGCCACTGGTCATGGTAATTCGTCCATCACTATGGACCGAGCACACAACAAAGGTATGGGCTTCTAACACATTATTATTTATGTCAAGAATGAGTCCACTTATCTTTTGATGAAAGACATATTCACTGTATTTCCAAGGCCAAAGTATTTTGGCCTTGAAAAGTTAAATACCTGAGACCTTTACCTCCCAAAGAAGCTATTGTCCCTCACCACTGTTGACACTTTCCGGGTTACAGCATTGCCATTCCAACCCAAATGGTCAACTCCAGTCAGAGGGTTGCAGGTCTGGAAATTAAATTGTATTGTTTT